TTGTTTTAAAAGAAAGTGGGACACGTTACATATTCCAAAAATTAAAAATCTGCTTGGTTGACAATATAGAGTGGAGTACATGACCATAAACAATCATATGAATGGGTGCATATGCCTCATATGAAAGCAAGCATCAGATGCTTATGCATGCTCCAAAGAACTGTATAATGGCTAAATTCCTGGCTGCCTTTTTACATGCTGAAAATATAAAAATAGATTTAAAAAAAATCTCATCTATGGACAGGATGTCACAAGGATCGAAGTTTCACTAATCATTAGGAGAAAGCGTAAATCATTTAAATGTTTCTTCATGGCAAAAAGATAACTGTAAGGTGTTTCACAGACTAACTTTGCTGAGAAATAAAGAGCATTTATATTGTTAGCTCCCAGATTCTTTTCCTTCCCTTTTGATGATTTGATTTTCTGATGGAGGCCAAGGCAAATCTCCACTGACCAGTTGATCCTGACCAAAGCAAGGCATGTATCCCTGGGAATCTCTGTTATCCCAGGCACAGATTCTGAAAAGAGGGCATTGGTCAGGGAAACTGAATGGTTGCAACCTGCTTTTTATCTTTTAAAATTCCACTTCCCTCACCCCAGCTTGTGCTCCAGTGTTTGCCACACACATCTTGGGACCAGCAGGGTGGTCTTGCATCCGGGAGGAGTGAAACAGCTGTGTGTTGAAATAATGATGCTAATGTAGCTCTGTGATTTGGCCACCAGACTAATGTGGTGTGATCAGGTCTCTTCCCAGGACACTGAAAGCAATGTCTACAGTGCTGCAGGCTTGGTTGGCTCAGAGTTACATATAGCTCTGTGGAGAGAGAGTGAGGGAGAGACTGGGAAATCAAACCTCATCCCCCGTAAAGGAACACACAACTGCCTGCCAAACCACCCAGATGGCGCAGGACCCAGGTACTTTGATGGGATGGTGGGAAAGAAGATTGTTTTTCTACCTTCCTTCCTTATTGTGCTAGACCATGTAAATTTGTAGAAAAGGTCTGTGAAATTAATTATACTGTTAGTGCTTGGTAACCAATGAATTGTAAATTGCATTATTAAAACAGCATCAGAGAGCTGACTGATCTATTATTTTTTAGGGAGAGAATGAAGATAAGGGTTGTATAGGCATTACAGGTCTTTCTAACAACCATACAGCAAGGAAAATGAAAATATGATTGTATTTTTATTTCTATATTAAGTGCAATTGAAACAATAATGCATTGTTTTGTTTTATTAAATCATCATGCATTTTTGTATGTGCCAGATTACACACCATGGGTTTATATGTGTGTGCACATTGCACAGTTCATCTCATTATCTATCTGTCTTATTCTAGAAGGTATTTGGAGGAAAGCTGCTATTGAACAGCTTTTCTTCTCCAATACCTTGTAAAACAATATAAATAAATATTGTGAACTCTTCCCCCTCCAGATATGTGTATATATGACTCTAATGTAACTAATATGATGCATGCCTATTATCAGCCCAGTCACACTGAGCATGTATTGTATTCCTTATCCCTACCTTTGTCTCTTTAGATTGCAGTGTTTGTGAAGCAGAATCTGTGTGTACAGTAGCCGGCAAAATGGGGCCCCAATCCGGACTGGGGATTCTGAGTGCCATTGTAATACAAATCATAATGAATAAAAGTAACCCTCTGAGACAGCATTGTCATGACTGTGAAAACACTGTTCAGCTGCTCTCCCTTGTGAGACACCTGCCCCAAACATGCTCCTCTTGCCCAACATTCCTCCGTAATGCATATCCCCTTTCACACTCCTCTTACCAAACACCCAGTTGCTCATAGACCTTTCTGTACATAAGAGCTGGTCCCCACATGTATTGGTTCTCTTCTTCTGTGTTTTTGGCATTCTGGATGCTGGCCTTTTGTGTACCTCCTAATATGCACCCCTCCAATGACACATGAAGTGGTGGCCTTTTCCACTCATTGCCACAAGCAGAGAGATTTCTGCACATCTCCTAGAGTCCATTCTTCTAAAGCGAAGTAGCATGTGTGGTTGGGTGTACAGTCATGTGACTTCCTCAACACCATTACTGGAAAAAAAAAGAAGTGAGCTGAGCAAAGCTCCAGTGGAATTTCCCCTCTATCTCTCTTTACACTCGCTCACTGAAGTGCTCAAGGAAGGGCTGTATTTTCATTTTGGTTTTTACAGCATCGTAGGCAATGGAGCCCTCAATACGCTTAGGGGCTCTCTGGGAGTTATCATAATATAAATGCAGAATAAGGACCGTAATTCTTTCCTCACTGGAGAACAGAATCAGGATAGGACCAGCCTCAGTCTGATCCTCATCCTTCCACTGAAGGGCTCCAGCAGGGAAATTTTATCAGGCAAAAATTTGGTTTCCCCCAGTTGCTAGATAAAGTTATTCTTTCACCAGAGATGGCAAACATCAGTTTGAATTGAACAGAGATCGCCTGAAAAACTATTGTAATATGAGTAAAGACCCATAAAATGGGCCTGCTTCTCCCCTCCATTACAGCATCAGAGATGTCACACTGGTGCAAAAAACAGTGTTACAGAATGGAGGAACAGATCCGTTTTTAAGATAAACTATTTTAAAAATAAATGGAAAACAATATTTTGGAGAATTTACTGTCCTCTAACAATTATGCTATGTTAGTTCTAGTTAGCAATACAAAACAATAACACTGTCTTTGCTGTCACTATCAAATCCTCCCCCCCCCCCAAAAAAAATACTCTATTATCCTCTTACCAGTCAACGGCTTAGGAAAGACTCCCATGTATGGGTGCAGTGCATTCCTAAATTCAAAAGAGGGCAGCATTTTACTTATGCTGTTTGAAATAAATAAGAATCCAAGTGTGTAGAAGAATGTCGTACTGAAAAAAATCCCCAGTTTTGAAATACACATATCATGTTGTGAAAGATTAAATTTAATGTGGAAAGAAATTGTTCCTAGAATGGTAGATTTACATATAAAGGCTATTAACTGATCATTGATATTAGCAAATGTAACACTTCGTTTTCATGGGAAGAGTATATAATTTCTCCTTGTTGCACAGTCATAATTCTCATTTAACTGCATACATATTAAACTGACTATAAATCCAAGTCTAGCATTGTCTCAGAATAGTCAAACGAAGAAGGGACTGAAATACAAAAAGTAGGCATGATATTTGAAAAGAAATGTTAAACTGTTCTAAAGAAAAATTATGAAATCTAAGTCAAGACTTCAGCTCAACAAGCTTCTTGAACATGTGCCTAAATAAAGCATGCCGTTAGTCCCATTGACTTCATTTGAAGCATAGGCTTAAGGCACTTTACTGAGTTAGGGCCAAAGAATCTATTTTTGATATTAATTTAATTTTCCTTCTCTCCTTTCATTCTTACCCCTGCACTATGGTCCTAAGAAGTGTACCAGTTTCACTGGGAAGAAACCAGATGTGCAAAAAGGAAGCAAAATACAAATTCTAATTTTAAATTAAAAACCTGGAATATTTTGAAGCAGAGCAACTTCTTTGTGACCAGCCATCACTTACCTTCTATTTGTACAGGGGTTAGAAGAATATTTACTGTGCCCTTTTAAAAAAATGCATACTGTTTATAAAGAAGGGTAAATTAGGGAAGGGTCTTGTTTAAAGTGTGAACTGGATCATAGAAAATGAGGGTTTATACAAGGCAGATGCATTTCAACTAGTTACCTCATGTTTAATTTTTAATAAAATATTGCTCTCCAAAAATATAATAGTTTTTTTAAGCACTGTATTTGCTTCACTTAACCAGCCAGCTTGCTTGGAATGTTAAAAGAACCTAGGACAGTACAAATACCCATTTTGCTGTTCTGTTTGCATCTAGCAAATAACAGATGTTGCTCTATGAAGATGCACATCTGATGCATCTGAGAAGGGATTTCTAAAATATACACCCTACACCAATAACAGTTTTAACACTAAACATTTACTATGGAATAGAACCAAATCAGTACATAGGAGGATACAAGTTTTCTGACCGTTCTGTTCATGAGTGTAACAATTGGGGATGTGATCAATGGTGTTTGAAATCAAGTGGGAGTAGGATTCTTGTGTGACCTCAAATGTGCATTAACGTTCACTAAATGACAGAGGATCTGGACAGATGGATTTGTAGCCTAAAGAGGTGAAACTTCATAATCTTCAGTAAATAGTTGTTAGAGAATCTGTGAAGGAATTCATGCAACCCAGGGATTCACTGGTTGGGTTCCATTGGTAAACAGTCCTGCTCTTCCTTTGGATAAAATCCTCCACCATGTATCTGCCTTTGTGGCTCTAGGAAAGCACAGTTTGAATGCCTGGGGTGAATCTAGTAGAGTGTCTCCAGGCAAATCTGCAGGGATCTCAGTTCAGTCCCTACAAATTAATCTCACCTGATCTGCTTTGAGCAGCCCACACAAATGGAAGCCTGAAAGATTAATTCATTTCTAATTATAATAAAGCTAGTGTTTGCAAAGGCCAATAGGTCTGCGATGCTTTTTATGAAAATGCTCATGATACTCATTGAAGTTAATGAGTATTTTGCTACTGAATTCAGTTGGGAATGGGACAGAGACCTAACTTTCCTGACTTAGAATTTGCACCTCTTTCAGTTGCCTTGAAAGTAGAGCTTAAGCACTTTTATAAATGGACTGGCGGGTTGTCTAATTGTCTGTAAAATATTCAAGTAATTTATATCCTCTGCTGAATACTATTTTGTAGCCTGTTCTAACTGTTCTCCTTGGTGAATCGTAACAGATTTCCCTTCTGCAAAAACCTGCTAGAGAAATATTTTCCCTTTGTCTCCCTATCATGGAGGCACATATATTTCACTAAAGGACGTGCCATGCTAATCTTTTCTCAAATGATACCAGTAGGTCCTTAAAATGCAGACTCCAGAAGATTATTTCTACTGCTTTCATTCCCTGTGGTGGCATATAGTTTTCTTGCTAAAAGGATATATTCCATTAGAGATTTTTTTTAAATATCATAGGTGCATTTATTTGAACATTACGAGATGCTACACACTGGGAACGGATTCCAGTGAACAAAGCTAATATTGACTCTTTCTGTGGACAATAAACGGGTGGTTAGACATTATACTGTATCTTGCTGACAAATATAACATATTCAATATTAACTTTCTATGCATATTGAATAAGCAATTAATAATGCAATGATAACAATGATAATAAACCTTCAGTCCTTTCTCTGGCAAAGCTCTTGTGTACACCAGTGGGAGTTTGTAAAGAGCAAAAAATGCAGAATTCGTTCTTTTTAGTACACTGGTCCTCAGATGAGACAGATATGGAAAGCACCACCAAAATGTCCACGAAGAAGTATAAGCTTTAACTCCCGCTATCACTATTGAAAATAAAAAACAAAGACACTGATTGACATGTCCGTCCCATTATCTCACACACAGAGATAATGCACAATACTATGTCTATCCCATTATCCCCTTGATTTTAATATCAAAGTGTTTGTCTGACTGTCACATTAGATTCTAAGGCCATTACAGGAACTGAGGACCTATGACTGGAACAGACCTAGAAGTCACCAAATTCAGTGCCCTCCTATCACAGGCAACCTTTATTTTGCTCTTCCTAAACTGATGTCAAGGAGTGACTTCAAAGAAGCCAATGGAGAGATACTGGTGTAAGTTGATGGAGAACTGTGCCCTGATAGCTTAGCTTTTAGTAACTGTGTGTGGGTCTGCTCATGTCGGTTTTAATGTGCACATTTTCTTGTCTCTTGTCTGTAGGAGATCTATTCCGAGAGCATGAAAACAACAAAAGCGGTTTAACACATTTGCTAAATCAGACCCATTCATTGTGAAGCTTTTAGTTGTCTATGACTGGTTTGATAATAAATGTTGTTGAACTCTAGTTCTTACATGCACTGCTCTGTTCTAACTGCTCCCCACCACTTTCCCATTCTCTTACTTTAGCAACACCCTACACACCTGTTCAAATAATATTACTATTGCCTTGTGTTGACACCAAGTCCACCCTTTCCTTTCATATAATAAGAGCTCGTGGTGAGCTCGTGTAAATTGAAAGCTAGTGGTAGCAGAAGCTGATTGTTTACCTGTCTCCAGTTTGTTGCCACAGATACTTCTAGCAAGAGTTGAACAAAGATCAGTTTGACATCCTTGTTAAGCAGGATTTGCCCCCCACTCCACCCACAAAAGTTAACCAGGTGCTATTCAACTTCCAGTTCTGCAGGTGTTTCCTCACACCTGTCTGAAAAAAAACAAAATTCGGTTTGTTTCAATATGGAGATGGCCCTAGCAGAATAAAAGACAACCTCACCCTGCCATGTAGACACAAGTGTTTGTTGTAATATTTCAGTGAATCCAAGCAAACAGAGGATGATACCTCTGTTTATATTTAGCATTTAAGCTTAACATAATTTAACAAGCTGATCCTGCTACCATTGAATGAGTGGCCAAACGCCTATTGACTTCAATAGGAGCAGAATCAAGCGCTAAATGGCTCTTCTGAAAGGAAACAGAATATTACAACTTTAAAAATGTTCATTATCTACGTCATTGGCCAGATTTCCAAATGGGTATGTAACATGGAGGGGGAGAACCCCCCACCAAGTGTGGGGTGAGGGTGCTGACTCCTGACACTCTCATACTCTCCACTTTTGCTCCCCAGTCCATGTCTCTAACTCCACCCACCAAAGTCTGTGAAGCCCCACTCTTAGTCCCTGAAGCAGGGTGGCCAATGGTCAGAGTCTCTAACTCTCCTCTATTTGCAGGGCAGCATAGTTCAATAGTCCCAGTCCATAACTCACCCCTCCTTGTGGGGCAGTGCGACCCAATGGCCACAGTCTTTACCTTGCCCCTGTTTGCAGGGCAGCGCAGTTCAATAGTCCAAGTCAATAGCTCACCCCTACTCGTGGGGTAATGTGGTCCCCTCTCAGGGATGGGAGGTAATGGAAGGGTTTACATCCCCCAGCGGGGGGGTCCAGGCTCTCCCACTGTACTGGACCCCAGATCAGGTCCCTGTTAAGATGCGTCTACACTGCACCGTAGCTTGAAATAAGATACACAATTTGAGCTATACAAATTGCGTATCTTATTTCAAAATAGCTTATTTCATAATTTGGCCCTGTCAACACAGCACCAAATTTTGAAATTACCTGCTATTCTGAAACATCCCTTACTCCTTGTGGAATTAGGTTTACAGGGATGTCAGAATAGCGAGCCCGAAATAACAGGCTTGCTGTTAAGATGCAGTATAGCTATTTTGGGATACTCAGGTATCCCAAAATAGCATTGCAACATAGACGTAACCTTAGTGGCTTTCTCTAGCCACTGAGTCAGCAGGGAAAAGCTCTGTTGAAAACACGCTGATTCCCCAGCTTCGGCTCACTCACTATGTAGCCGTTGCTGTCCCTGGTCTGTTTCCTGCTTCAGTTGTCTCAGCTTCATCCTGAATCTCCCTCTCCTCTGCTTTGTCAGGGCTCTGGCGGCTCCTGCTTGCCTCTGGAACCCATTCGGTCTCTGGGAGCATCTGGCCTCCAGCTAGCATGGTAGCACCTCGGCATTTGTGTAGTTGCTGCGGTTTGTCTGATCTGGCAATACATGTCCTCTCTCTCCGGCTGCCAGCCTCAGCTGAGCTGAGCTGCTCTCTTTTATAGCGATACAGCTCAAGCAAAGGGGGTGTGGCTTTCTCAGTCCTCAGGGCTGGGTTAACCCCCGCCCTGTACACCCCGTCACAGGGTGCCATTTAAATGCACATGACTAGCAAGTGCAAACACTCCAGTTGAGGTTTACATGCATTCGTAGCAGTATGCAAACACAACTCCCAACTTTCATAAGTGCGTTGGGGTGTTTGCATATCTAAGGGTGTGTCTAGACTACAGGGTTTTGTCGACAAAAGTGGACTTTTGTTGACAAAACTATACCTGCGCCTACACTGCTGCTGAGTTCTGTCGACAGAATGTCGACAGAACTCAGCAGTTTTGTCAATGGCTGTAAACCTCATTCTACAAGGAATAATGCCTTTTGTCGACAGAGTTCTGTCAACAGAAGGCATTATTGCATCTACACTGTCCTTTGCGTCTACACTGTCATGTCGACAAAGCGGCTTGTTTTGTCTACAGAACTGGATGTAGTCTAGACGCTCTTTGTCGACAGACGCTTTGTCGACGGTATCTGTTGACAAAACTTCTGTCGACAAAAGCCTGTAGTCTAGACGTACCTCAGGTCAGGCCCATATAAATGTGGGTGTTTATCGTTGAATGCCTATTTGAAAAGCATTCTAGGGTCTAATCCAAATAGCCACTGAAGTCACTGGAAGCCTAACTCCTCGGAAAAGTAGCCAGTAAACCTCAGATTGTATCCTTCTATTTCTTTTACATTTCTTCTTGATGTAGCTTATCAGCAGAGTCACCACTGCTGCATGTAAAATCTGACCCAGAATGAATTATTGTAATGCTAGATAAATAGATAAAAATAAATAGAGGTCAAACAATCCTGATATCTTTACTTAAACGAAAGTTTGTGACTCTATTGGGAGTTATACCTGAGCAAGGAATGTGACTCAGAGTTTGATTTCCATTTATCAGTGTAAATCCAAGTAAGCTTTAATGGAGTGTCACCATTTTAAATGGTGAAAAAAAGATAAGAATCTGGGCATGAGCAAAAAAGGAAGGATTTTGTCCAGACCTTTAGAGCCTGCTATTTAATCACCCCCTCTGGGGCTATGTCTCCACCATGTCCAGGGAACGTGTCTGCTCTTCTGCATTTTTTGGGAAAGAGCAGATACGCTCTTTCGGCATCCCTGTCTTCCTCCTCCCGTGAGGAAGAAGGGCTTTTCTGAAAGAGGGGATTTTTTCCAAAATTTGGCCCAGTGTAGATGGGCCAAATTTCAGAAAAGCCTCTTCTGAAAAAAATATCGGAAAAAGGTACACAAATTGCAGAGCGGAATTTGCGTATCTTTTTCCGATAAAGCCCCATAGTGTAGACATAGTCTGGATTTCCCATTTAATGGCTGGATTGAAACCCCATTTAAATAAATGGCGAGACACCTGCCAGAGCCATCATGTACATAGGACGGTTTAGGGGCGGCAACCTTAGGCCCTGTGCTTTGGGCTTCCCTGCAGGGCCCATAGCGGCATAGGGAATTATCAGGGAGCCTGATGCTGACAGCAGGGGTTGGGCCCAGCCACGCATTCACCACCAGCAGCAGGAGCCATGGGAAGTGCAGCCACCCAGCCCCAGCTTGCTCTGCTCTGCCATCTCTCAGCTGGGCTTCTCCATGTTGCCGTGGTGGCGGGAAGCAGAGCGACCTGGCCCCAGTCTGCTCTGCTTTCCCATATGACGCAGCTAGGAGCTGGGCTTGTGGAAGCAGAGCAGGCTGGGGCCAGGTTGTTCCACTTCCCACCACTGCAGTGAGTGCAGCGGGGAGGGCTACCCCTGCTGCTGGAGCCAATCTGCTCTGGTAGTCCCCCCAGGTCATGTCACTCAGGGGGAGAGAACATGGTGGAAAGGGCGCAATGGGGGTGGGAGGTGGCAGAGCAGGGACAGGAAGCAGACGGGAAGGGTGGAGCGGGGGAGAGTTGGGGGTAAAGCAGGGGCTGTAAGAGGAGGGGAAGAGATGGAGTCTGGGGTGG